AATCTTTAAAAATTAAAAATTAAAAAATTTTAAAAATTAAAAAATAAAAAGGGGGATCTAGCATGGGGCCACTCGACAAGAATACAAGGCAGGACAATGATTCTGGGTGGGCAGCTGGGTGCAGATCCTCTCCCCGCTGTACCCAAGCCTTCCTCAGTGGTGGGCATGCAATGAATCCCAGGAAGGCAGGCAGGGGGGTGGAGAGGCGTGGCCGACATGGAGGGCTCCTAAAGAAGTGAATAGACAGGACTCGGTGATTGTTTGGCTGAGCCAGCAGCAGAAACTAAAAAGCCGAAGATAACTTCTGGTATCACCCGACCACCAAGTTTCCGGCTCCACTACCGTTGGCCAATGGCATGTTCTCCAAGTGACTATATAAGGGTGGGAATCCAAAATACCTGTGATGCCCATGGATGGACAAGCTTGCCTGGCTCCTCCACCTGGCCCACCTATGCTTCTGTTTCCCAGACTATCCCCCAAGCTGCATGTGGAAAATTTTTAACTTTCCCACTGCTTTTTTTTCCTTTTTTTAAATATGGAACTTCATGAATTTGCATGTCATCCTTGCCCAGAGGCCATGCTAATGTCTGGAATGTTCCAATTTTAGTGGATGGCTGCCGAAGCGAGCACAACTTTCCCACTCAAAATCACCTACCTCACAGCTAACCCCACTCTCAGGAGATGACACACCTCTACCTCACAGAGGGAACAGAAACCACAAGAAGGGAACCCGCTCAACTTTCCTTCATCATCCCACAAACTTCCCCACATCCACAAGCAGCCTCTCCTCCTTCCCTCCTTAGGAAAAAGGAAGGGTGACTCTTCTATTTAAAGATGCCAATCTCTCCTCCCCTTCCAGTGCTTTAAAAACACTCTCCACTCACTTCCGTGGAATATTTGTGCTTCAGATGACCTCCTCTTTCTCTTTGACCTCTCCCTCCTTGCAAATCCATTCCCGTCAGACTGCAGTGATGGCCCACATTTTTCACTTTGCCCTTTGTCACATTGGCCAGTGGGACATCTAAAGGCATGATGCAGAAGCCTGAAGTGCACTTACTTGGCTAGACTTCCTAAGAAGTGTGAGAGGGAGTCTAGCTATCTTCATGAGTAGAACTTGCCCAGGCTAGCCTGATGGTCCCAGGAAGAGGACAAGAAGTGTGTGGAGCAGAGCTGTCCCAGCTGAAGTACACAAGCACACCCTAGAACAAGGTCCAGCTCACTCACACATATGTGAGCAAAAGCCGTCTAGATTATCCGATCCCCAGGGCACCGGGGTGGCTCAGTCATTAAACGTCTGCCTTCGGCTCAGGTCATGGTCCCAGGGTCCTGGGATCGAGTCCCACATCGGGCTCCCTGCTCC